TATACAACGAACGTTTTATTAATTATTCAATAGTTTGTATAGGAGCGATCAAAGTAAGCATTAAGGACAAGATCTATGAACAAAATATATATACTATGGTTCTTTTATTATTATTGGTGATTCGTTTACATATTTTGCCATATGCTTTTTGTTTATTAATGTAGGTCTTTCACCTCATTCTAGACCATTTTCTTTCACCATAAAATTCAAGGAGAGTCTGTTTATATTGAAGAATGTAATGTTTATAATCATCAATTGATGATGAGCATGATGGCATTGAGATATCTAATTTTATAAAAATGAAGAAATTATTAATGTTAAAATAAGCTTTTGTTGTAGAAAATTCAAGAAATTCAATCTTTACAATACTCACTACTTAGAAAGTTTGAAATTATATTTATTGTTTTTAATCCAAGTTACTTTCTTATTCTAATTCTAGTAAATCCTGCTAATGAATACCATCCTTTGGTTGAGCATTTTTTGTAATTTTTTTTCTCATTACCATAAATAGCTACAAATAAATACTTCCGACCTGGATCCAATCCAGCTACATGACCACCTTCACTAATATTCAAATGATAAAAGTTTTCATTTTCATCAAATCCATATGAATTTATTTTTATATTTTCTTTTAATATCTCTTTTCTCAGATTTACATTAACACTTGTCATTATACTGAAACCAAATCGCCTATGTGTTGTTGTTACTTTATCTATATTAAATGCCATTCTCCACAATGTTCAAGATTTTCATTGAAATCATTTAGGCTTATCTTTCCTGACCCACAATAATTTGTTATAGAAAGCAAATTATAAAGAGCAGTTGAATCAATAAGGATGAATTTTTTCTGAAATTTTGAATGAGGTAGAATAGTGAACAGATGCAATCCTCTACCTCTTCTTCTTGTAAGCCTTCTATCATTAGCATCTTTTTGATAATTTTTTTCAAAAGTTTTAAGGATTTTCCAAAGTGATCGAAGATAATCCCACCAGGTTTGTTTGACATGTTTATCAGATAAAAATTTATTTTCTAAGATAACTCTTTTTGCTTTAGAAAAGATATAATGAGATCAGATTTCAATAATTATTTTTTTGTGAGTATTGTTTATATTTTCATTTATTGACTGTGGAAGCGAAAATCTATTGTTTTCTTTAATATTTTTTAATAAGTGGTTAGATAAATTCAAATTTTTTCTGTGAATAAATAACTAAAAAAAATTCTAAAACCTGCTTTGATGCACTTAGAGTCTCAACCAATAATACTTTTTGTCAATGAGTCTTATTTCATTCTTAAGTAATAGTTTCTTTAGGACGAAACTCACTCCACAAGACTTATTCAACCAAAAATATATAGGTTAGGTTAATCATGCCGGAATAATTGGGGTAATTACATAAAATTAATATTAATGCTACATGTTAAATTAACTTTTCCTTCATAAAATATATAATATATGTAATGTTTACTAAAAAAAAAATGCAGAAATTAAAAAGACACTAAGTTTCCAAATACAATTATTACACACACTACATTAAAGCTTTCCTATTCTATTCAATCAAAAATCAAATCTGGAATTGCATTGAAAGGAGTTTTAAATTGTTTAGCTTCGATCTTTGATTTTTTTGGTGTTGATATACATGATGGAATTTCGTGTATACTTCAAGATCGTTTCTTTATGCCTGCTTGTACAAAATCTTCAGATATCTGTACATCTGATCGTGTAGGTTTGGATTGAACTATCTTGATAGTTTCTCTAATGACAGCCTGAAAATTGAAAGGAATAAAAAAAATGATATGCCATCATAGAAATACAATATTAAACAAAAACCAATAAATAATAATACCTTGATGTTTAGTACCACTGCCAGAATTTGCAAAACATCCGAAAAATTTCCCTCAATATCTGGTACCTGCATCAAATCTCCACGCCGAATACGACACACATAACCTTTAGGATTGTTGAGAAGAATTGTCATCATCATTGTCCCTGCAGCATTTCATTTGATGGTAAGCATCTTGAAATTTATCACACTAGTTACACTACAATCATAATATAGAAAATTGCTTGCCTGCATGGATGATTCCAACCGTTTGTAGTTTCTTGCACAATTCTTTATCCCAGCCTACTTTTTTCATGAGCTTTAACAACATATCCTTTAAAGATTTTGGTGATTTAATACATGTTTCCTTCAGGAATTTCGTCCCATGATCGTCAAACCACAACTTTCCCGCTTCGCCAATACCATATTCATCACATTCACCATTTCCAATTTGTCTTAAGATCCAATTGCCTCGGTGTCCATACTTTCTCCGAGTGTTCGTATCCATCCTATGCGCATTCTTCCGCTCAGCATTCGCGGCGCTGGTGCATTCACCTCTTTATAGATGACAGCCACACAAAAACAAATTAAAAGAGATAATGAATAAATAGTTAAAGTATGAATACATACCGAACAACAGATGTCTCCTTCAAATCTGCAAACCTTGATCAACGATGACATTCTGGCCTTTTAATCCTCCACTCTCAATTTCCCTAACTCTGAGAAACAATTGTTTAGTTGAGAATACTTCGATTTACATAAAGAAATTTGAATATATGATAACCTACAGTGCGTATAACACAAATCTAATGTAATCTAGATCATGGTAAGCATCTTGATCATATTTCATATCAAACCTTTTATCTGGTTCATTAATTGCTTTACGTATCTCCTTTAGTGTTTTCTGACAAGAAGAATCAATTCAATATATGCATTGTTTGCCAATTAATATATAAAATAACCTCACTTTATCGTTAAATTTGATAAGATAATCTATAATGTCTTGTGACAGCTGTGGTATTTCCGGAACACATTCATTCTCCATTTCTAGACGTTCAGCTTCACTAAAATGCTGTTTTATTAACTCATCATCCACATCCACAATAAATGAGTGGGCTCCACTAGAAATA